TTTTTATCTTGGGCGATTAAAGACAGCCAAATTAGGTTCTGGCACACAGACTTGTAGAAGAATTAGATAGCTTTGTTATTGTAATTAGGTCAGAAGAGTGTTTCTTGGTTTTTCTGAATAGCTAATTTAATACTAGATAGCAATTTACATTCAGGAATGTTTTCATAGTTTTTTTTAAAGTGTTTTAAAAATAATATTTTATTATATATCTTAAAAATAGTGCTGCCTTGATTTATTATTAGTTAGGAAATATAATAAATAGCATACTGTTTTTACTGGATTTATTTGTCAATGTCACCCTTTGATGATAAGAGAACACCAACTGTGCTTTAGGAGTAAAATATTCCCAAATAACTAGCACTAAGTTAGATTTTTCTAAGTATTTTGATTACAAAGCTGGCCAGACTTCCAACGGAATAAGAATGTAAGAAGTCAGGGTAGAAAAGCCAGTCACACACACATGCATGATTTAAATATGCATTATATCAGTCTTCTTGTATCTTGTGTTTTCTAGTGAAGCCAATATTATGCCCTAAATGTTATTACTTTAGAAATCCAGTTCTCACATTTAGGAAAAACAGAAACATTGCAAAAGACAAAACAAGTAAATTGAATCTCTGAACATTCTTACTCTTCTGGTGACAACTACACTTTTTTGGGAGGGGGTGGAAGCAGGGAAGGAAGTGGTTAGAGTGTTTTACATTTCCTTTCCAGTTGATTTCCTAATATTAGAGGTGAAATTAAAAAGAGGTTTCAGTAATAGGTTTTCCTGCCCTCTCTTCTCATAGACCTGGAAAAAGACTAACATAGGGGTAGCAGTGGATATAGTCTTCCTGGACTTCCGGAAGGCTTTCGACACTGTCTCTCACCCCGTTCTCATTAGGAAACTGGGGGACTGTGGCGTAGACACCCACACAGTCCAATGGGTCGCCAACTGGCTAGAGAGCCGCACCTAGAGGGTAGTAGTGGATGGGTCCTTCTCAGCCTGGAAGGACGTGGGCAGTGGGGTCCCGCAGGGCTTGGTCCTCGGGCCCGCCCTGTTCAACATCTTCATCAGTGATTTGGATGAGGGGGTGCAAAGCACCCTGTTCAAATTTGCTGATGACTCCAAGATGTGGGGGGATGTGGGCACAATAGAAGGGAGCAACAGGCTACAGTCGGACCTTGACAGGTTACAAGGATGGGCGGAGGAGAACAGGATGGGGTTCAACACAGACAAGTGCAAGGTGATGCACCTGGGGAGGAGCAACCGGCACCATACCTACAGGCTGGGGAAATCCCCTCTTGTCAGCACGGAGGTGGAAAAGGATCTTGGAGTCATTATTGACTCCAAGATGAACATGGCTCGGCAGTGTGGGGAGGCAGCTAGGAAGGCCAACTGTACCTTGTCTTGCATCCACAGATGCATTTCAAGCAGGACCAAGGAGGTGATCCTCCCCATCTATGTGGCACTGGTCAGGCCGCAGCTGGAGTACTGCGTCCAGTTCTGGGAGCTGCACTTTAAGAGGGATGTGGACAGCATCGAGAGGGTCCAGAGGAGGGCCACTCGCATGATCAAGGGACAGCAGGGCAGGTCCTATGAGGAAAGGTTACGGGACCTGAACCTGTTCAGCCTCCAGAAGAGAAGGCTGAGGGGGGGATCTTGTGGCCTGCTATAAACTAGTCGGGGGGATCAACAGGCACTGGGGGAGTCCCTGTTCCCCCGAGCGCCGCCAGGAGTGACCAGGAATAACGGTCACAAGCTGGCGGAGGGGAGGGTTAAGGCGGGCATCAGGAGGCGCTACT